GGTGGTAAAGAGCTCTACTGAGCTAGAAGGGCCCCTGGGAAGCTGCTTACCAATATGATGGCCTAGGCCAGGCCCTTAGAAAAGGAAAGCCCTGGTGAAGGTCACAAATAAACAGAGATGTGGGAAGGTGGAGGAGTGTGATTTCCCGACTCCTATACCCACCAGTAATTACTCACCCAACACCCTGTCCCCCAAGAGAGAGTGCTCTGTCTTCTCCCACCAGAGAAGCCTGAGGAAAGTAAAGCACTGTAGATAGACCCGCTCCTCTGGTTATTAGTTGTTTTGACTTTGTACAAGCTGTTGCACCCTTCTGGGCCTCAGATTCCTCATGTATGAAATCACTATATCTTCCATCACAGCATATTGCTGTGAAGATTATTAATAAGCTAAGATTAATTAAGCTGCTATTAGAGGTTTAATAATACATCAACATACCAATTGGTAAGACTTATGAGTGCTTGTTACAGACATGGGAATGTGCTAAGAACCTTACAAGCCTGGATCCCTATCTGTCCTCACAACAATTCTATGAATTGGATTTTAGCAGAGGAGCCCATTTTTTAATTCACATCTTTTTTTTTTAAATTAATTAACTTATTTTTTATTCTTAGAGTGATATCCTTTTTAAAAATTTATCTTTATGTTGAAAATATTACAGGTACCTTCTTTTTTCCCCCCATTTGTCCCCTCCACCCTGCTCTCACCCCTTCCCCAGGCCTTCACTGCACAATTGTCTGTGTCCATAGGTTATGCATATATGCATATATGTTCTTTGGTTAATCTCTTCCTGGCCACCTCGCTTCCCCAGCCATTCTTCTGATTTTGGTCATGGCTGGGTTGGAGAGTTCCCTGCAGGCTTACCTGTGAAAGCGTGTCTTCCTCCAAGTCACTGGGTACCCATGCTTCAAAGGGTAGGAGCTGAGTTACTCCAAGATCTGCTGTTGGACTGAGGTCAGTGGGTCTACCTCTGGGGACACAGAAGAAGCATGTATCTTCTGACATGTCCCTGGACAAGTAGGATTATTCCTGGCCCATGACTGCAAGGTGCTGGAGCCAAGTTACAGGGCCATTTCAGTGTCTACAGTTGTCCTGAGGTTGGAGGGCCTGTCTCAGGGGCATGGATGAGTGTGTCTTCTGCCTTGTCCCTGGGCGGGCAGGTCTGGTAGCTAGGAGGAGCTGGAGCTGGATCACAGCTACTTCAGCATGTACAACCAGGACCGTGGTTGGTTGGTAGACTTGCTAATGGGGCTGTAGCTAAGTCTACAGGAGGACAGGGCTGTTTTCACGTCTATGGCCAGGACTACTGTCAGCAAGTCTGCACCTGGGCACAGGCCTGCCTTCTCAACACAGCCCTTCTTGGTCTTGGGTTCCACCAAAGTCTCACAATCTTCTACCTAGATCCCAAAACCTGACAAAGGCACTTTGGTTTGAGTGTGGTTGCCAAGTATTGTTGCTGAGGGGACAATATGGGTGGAGACCTCCTTTTCTGCCATCTTATTGACTGATATTATATATATATATATATAATATATATATGCATATACATTACATATATGATCAAGCTTACATTTTATGGTGTTGGGTAATGTCAAGCTTACTATGGTGTTGGGCAATATCAACTGGGGAAAAGTTAAAACATACACAAAAATAATTTTTTTGTATTAAATATTAAATATTTGACTTAAAAAGAAATTTAAAAGTACTAGAAAAAAAATCACTGACAAATATTTATACAGCATTTAGATGGAAGTCATTTTTTCTAAACATGACACAGAACAAGATAAATCTGATAAAAATGTCAAACTTAATTTGGGCAAAAGACACGCTAAACCAAGTAAAAGACAGATGCGAAATTGAGTAATATATTTGCAACATGTATGGTAAAGAGATACTATCCTCAAACATGAAATGTTTCTACCAATCACCAAGATAAAGTACCCCCAAAGTAGCAAAAATATAAAGAGGCAATTTTGAAAGAAGAAACACAAATAATAAATAAAAATATATAAACATCTATCCAACTACAAGAAACAAAGAAATTAAAATTTTAAAATAATGCAATATTTAACCTAATTTTCAAAGTTTTATTTATAACACTCAGTGTAGTCAGCAAGTGGAGTAACAAGCATTCTCTATCTGCCCTTACAAGTTGCCCTGGAAATTTCTCAAACTGCCGATCAAGACTTCAAACGGTGCATAATTTTTGGCAAATAGAAAGGCAGAATATTTACCAATTTTTAACTGCATTTCCTTAGAATGGGTGCTCTCCCCCCCACACACATAAATTACTTTTATGAATTTAACTAGTGAGGATAATTTCAAAAGTATGGAAAGATATATAAATAAGACTATTATTCCAGTATTATTAACAATTACAAGGCAAAGAAAAAGGGAAATAATTTGAATTACATCAATATAGGTTTGATTAAAAGGATATAGTTTATACATGAAATAGAATATTACGGATAAGATATATTTGTTGCTTGACATGTAAAGAATTATACTATGTAATGTGATCAGGGACAAAACCTACTACAAAATAGTGTGGTGTTTTGAATATACATTTGTGAGAGAGTGTGTGTGTGTTCATTTGTCTCAAAAGCTAAACACCAATATTACCAATAGCTACTTTTTTTTTTTTTTTTAATATATCTTTATTGATTTCAGAGAGAGGAAAGGAGAGGGAGAGAGAGATAGAAACATCAATGATGAGAGAGTCATTGATCGAGCCCACAACCTGGGCATGTGCCCTTACCGGGAATCGAACTCTGATCGCCTGGATCCTAGGTCGACGCTCAACCGCTGAGCCACGCCCAGCCGGGCCCAATAGCTACTTTTAATGACAGGATTATGGTGGGAATGGCATAAAACGACAATGATGACATTCTATACCATTTGAACTTTTACAACATGATATATTACATGCATGATTAAAGTTTTAAATAGCAAAGATTTCTAACTTGGAATTAAAAAGAAGAAACAAATTCCAAAAGAAAGAAGAGTCTCCAAATGGTTAAAGAAACTCTGTGACCCTGGAGGGTGGGCAGAGCACTGGGAATCAGTGTCCTAGGTTATTCTCTATGATGCTGACCCCATTGATTCATTCCACCCCAGTGGTGATGCCACACAAAATCCCCCCTTGAAGCTTTAGTAAGTGTTCATATGGCAGGAATACCAGAGGTGTAGGGATCTCTGGAAGTAAACAAAAAACTCTTATTTTGCAGCAGAGTTAAGTGCTGGTGGGCAGAAGTGATGGAGCAGATATGGTAGCTCTTCAGTGTGAACAGAGTGAACTAGTCTTTCTGTTCGCTCAGACCAGCAGAATCGGAGAACATTAGAGATGGAAGAACCATGATGATTACCTTGTTCCTCTGTCAACTACAGGCCCAGAGAAGGTAAAGAACTTACTCAAAGGCCAAGAGCATTGAGCATGAGAGGAAGTGAATAGGTGCCAACCATGTTGCAGGTCTTCCTCAACAGCTTCCTTGACCCTTGCAGGAAGCTTGCTTTTTGTATCCTTGAAGTTTGGCAACCAAAAGGGGATCAGGAAAGAACCATCTTTCCCCCTGTGTTTTGAAAGTACTGGCAAGCATGACCCAAAAGGCAGGGAGTAAATTCATAAGTTGAAAAGTTAGTCACAAACTTTGATGAGATTTTAGAGATGTAAGTGAATAAAATATCAGCATTCTTTTTCCCTCTTTCCTCATCTGATAAACCTTCCCCCTGACATTCTAGGAGCACCTTCTGTTTAAAGAAACAGAAAACGAGTCCCCTACAGTACACTTTTTAGCACTTTGATAAAAACTTCAAATACTATTTTATTCTTGGTAGAGGAGATGGACTACAATGATGGCATTAGGGCTGCCAGAACCGGTTATTGCTGGACAGTGCAGAATACGAAACTCCCATCTCCAGTCCCAGACCCACCGATTGTCTTACCCCGCCTCCTTCCTCTGGTCTTTAAACAGTTTCAAGGCATCTTATCCAATCTCTCCATTCTTTCTCATCTCTCATTCTGTCTCTACCCTATTTGGACTACTCCAATACCTCTACCCTTTCTACCAGACCCCTTTGCTTGCAATTCTGTCCTATTTTCCCCTGTTCCTCATCTTTCATTTCTATTTTTTCCACAAACTCCACATCTTCAATCCTGTCTTGCTTTCCTCTATCATGTCCTTTCTCTTCACCTCCAACTTACCTCACCCTTTCAATCCCTTTATCCCCGTAAAATATCACAGAGAAGCCAAGCCACAGGTGCAGGCCAAAGGGAAGTTTTAGGGAAATTAATTGTGAAACATCAGTGGCACAGTAGAGATGCCAGGAATGGGTGCTTAGTCTCTCCTTTCCCCTCTCTCTAAAATCATTAAACATATCCTCAGGTGAAGATTTTTAAAAATTTGCACACAAAGATCACACTGTCCAGAGTTACTAGAGAATACATGACCATACAGCCCCCTTTTGTCTCCTCTGTATCCCAGGGCATCTTTGTGTGATAGGAAAGAGATGAGCTGCATTTTTAGACTTGAGAATCTTGATGAGAGAAATAAAATAATCCTGATGTCTAGGCTGATATTTCATAAACAGACCAATCATACCTGAACTTGAGGGAAGCACATGACCCCTTGGTGGGAAATTTCCTGGGATATTTTGGTGAATCCAGGCTATAACCAGCCGAAGAGTCATTCCCTGTGGGACATGAACCTGTAAGCATTCAGGGCTTCCTAAGTTCCACTTCTACCCAAAAAAGGGAGCACACAGTGACTGAAGTTGTAATTTGTCCAAGGAACTGACAAGGCATTCATTTACACACTCATTGCCTATAACTGGGAGGGCTTTTTTGGGAAAAAATAACTATTATCCCCTACAAAAAAAAAAAAAAAAAAATCCTCATGATGAGAGAAATAGAAGCAGTTCCAAATCCTTTGTCCTAGCTACTGGCCCCAGAGGATTTCTCCTTTAGCCCAAAAAGAGAAAAGGAGGCAGTGACACTGGAGACCTTATCAAGCCGGTGTCCGCTTCCCCGTGATCACCCTCCAGAGGGCACCCTGCACATCAGGGTTCCTGAGGCTGTAGATGATTGGATTCAGCAAGGGGTTGATGACAGTGTTAAAAATTCCAACAGCTTTATCCTTACCTGAAAGCTTGGCTGAGCCTAGTCTCATGTAGTTGAAGATACCTGAACCATAGAAGATGCCAACCACAGTGAGGTGGGAGCCACACGTGGAGAAGGCCTTCTTCCTGCCCTCAGCAGAGCGGATTCGTAGAACTGCAGCTGCCACATGGGCATAGGAGGTGACAATAAGAGCCATGGGTGCCCCTGCCATTATGAAACCCACAGCGAAGAGCAGCAGCTCATTGAGTTGGGTGCTGGAGCAAGAGAGCTGGAAGAGCTGTGGGAGGTCACAGTAGAAGTGATTGATCACATTGGGACCACAGAAGTTGAGCGTGGATATGGCCACAGTGTGGGTCAGTGCGTTGGTGAAGGCACAGGCCCAGGACGCAGCCACCAATATCCTCTGGACCATCTGGCTCATGCGGGTGCTGTAGGTGAGGGGCCGGCAGATGGCCAGGTAGCGGTCATAGGCCATGGCGGTCAACAGGAAGCAGTCTGTCCCAGCCAACTGATGGAAGAAGAAAAGCTGTGTGAGGCAGGCCCCATAGGGAACGGCANCACCCCAACCAGGAGATGGAAGAAGAAAAGCTGTGTGAGGCAGGCCCCATAGGGAACGGCATGCCCGTGGGACAGGAGTCGGCCCAACATTGAGGGAACAGTGACAGTGACACATCCAACGTCCAGCACTGAGAGGTTCCCCAGGAAGAAGTACATGGGGGTGTGGAGTTTGGGCTCCACCAAGATGGCAGCCAGGATGCTGAGGTTGCCCCCGACTGTGACCAGGTAGGCAAAGAGGAAAAGCACAAAGACAAGTGGCCACAGCTCCGGTGTCTCCACCAGGCCCAGCAGGATGAACTCGGTAACAGCTGTTCCATTGGCCCCAGATTCTGACAGCATTAGTTCCTGCAGGGAAACATCCAAGGAGATAAAGAATCATTCGTCTCGATATATTTATTAACAGAAAGAAAGAAAGAAAGAAAGAAAGAAAGAAAGAAAGAAAGAAAGAAAGAAAGAAAGAAAGAAAGAAAGAAAGAAAGAAAGAAAGAAAGAAAATAGACTCCTTTCTATGTGCCGATCCCTTTACTAAGTTCCTCTCTCCAAGTAAGGACCTTCCTACTCCCGAGGACATACCACGCCTATTACCTCTCTCACTACATTTACCTCAATGGCTTTACTTCATTCTCAGGTGTATGGACAGGTGACATCACCACTCTGGACCTCCCTCTCTGTCTTAGCTGAAAGAATCTATTTGTAGAGATTATGAAGGACAAAATCTTTGGTAAAAATTAAGTAGAAAGTGTATTTCTGATTTAAACATAGTAGAGTAAATCTGGAACTTTCTCTTCTCAAATCTCATCTCTTCCCAACACAAACACAACAAAAATAAAAATGCAGATTCTATCTTCCAAGAAAAGAGTAAATATCTAAAATCCTAAAGCACAAACCAGATCAGAAAACTTTAAGGAGAGTGGAGATGAAACAGGAGAGTGGCCAAAAGAGAAAAATCCATGACCATAGAAAAAGCTAGACAACTCCAATTCTCCATGGAAAAGGCACACTCACTAGGGAATGTAACCAAAAGCCCTTCTTTGCAATCACGGGAGCAGGGTGCATAGTATGGCATCGTTACCTTCTGTGGCCCTGAGTTGGATTCGAGAAGCAGAGGAGAGCTAAATGAAGAATCTCACGGGCAAGCTGTATTTGCAGGCTGTAGACAAAGCACAAAGCTGGGGTGAGATATACAGAAAATACGCCATTAACAATTCTAGTTACCCATCTACATTAATTACAGACAAGGAAACTCTAAAATAATTCACCCCTAATAGTTACTCAAAGGATGCTCCAAATATGTGGTATCGAATCATACAGTGAAAAGTGCAGGATTTCAAGGGGAAATAGGCAGAAATAGGATAATAGCTCGTGGACTTTCATAAGAGGGTTAATTTGACAGAAAAGCAAAGCTATAAAAGACCTCAATATAATTAATTATTCAAGAGGTAGAACTGATATGTTCACCTTTTCCAAGTGCCCATGAAACATTCACACACACCCCAAAGAGTGTCTATAAACTGGAAATTCAGCAAACTCCAAGAGAATAAGTAATACAGAAAATAATATTTAATCGCATCCAATTTAAAGAAAAATTATTTAAAAAAATAAATCCCAATATTTTTTTAAATCTTTAAGAGACAGTTGGACCAAAGAAGGAATCCAAACTAAAACTAAATAATAGCTGGGGGAGAAGAGAAGGGAGATAATGACATCAGAGCACACTAGCACATAAGGATTATCATTAAATCAATGTTCAGAAGAAAATCCATAACCTTAAATAAATATATTAAAAACCAAAAAGGAAGAAAATTGATAAAATGATCAAATCAAGAAATTAGAAAAAAAAACTATAAGAAATGGGGAGAGGTTGGTAAAAGGGTGTCAACTTTTAGTTAAAAGAATAAAGTTTGAGGATCTAATGTATAACATGGTGGCTGTTAATAATACTGCATTGCATCATTGAAATTTGCTAAGAACTTAAGCATTCTCACCAAAAAAAGGTAACTATGTGAGGTGATGGATGTGTTAATTAACTCAGCTGCAGGAATCCTTTTACAGTGTAAATGTGTGTAATCGTCATGTTATACACTTCACACACATTACAATTTTATTTGTCAGTTATACTTTTAAAATGCTGAAAAAAATTAAAATAAAATAACATTTTACAAGCTTAAAACAATGACAAGTCCAGGAATAGACCTACGGTAGTATAGGAATTTAGTACATGATGTAAGTGGCATCTGAAATGAATGGAAAAGTATATTATTTGATGAACGCTATGTGTAGGGGCAATAACATAGCTATCTGGAAAAAAAGGAAGTTGAGTACATACCTCATATATTTTGCAAAAATAGATTCTGAATAAACCAAATATTTAAATGCAAAAATTAAAATTATTGGGGAGAAATGGGGAATTTTAATAGGGTAAGGATGGCTCAAAATATAGGAAAAAAACACTTTAAAATAACCAAAATTGATTAATCTATACAAATTTAAAAATTCCAGCAAATTAGCTAAGCTGGAACTACCTTTCCCAAATTCCATTCTCTGTATGGTCCCAGGTTAGGGTTGGCCGCAAAGGTACTTTGCATGGTAGTTGTAAGGTGGAATTGAAAAGGGAAAGGGGGGATTTGGCAATAGTTTTCAGAATTATGAATGTGCTTTTCCTTTTACCCAAAAATCCCACTTCTGGGAATTTAACCAACAGATATATGGGCACATGTAAAAAATGACATGTGTGAGGGTATTTGTTGCAGCACTGTTTGTAATAGCAAAGAATTGAAAATAACCTAAGTGTTTGTTCTTAGAAGACTGACTATGCAGTGGTAAAAACCACTCTGTCCATGCTAATTTGAAAGATATCCAAGTCATATTATTAAATGTAAAATACAACTTGCAGAATGAATATAGTAGGAAGAAAAGAACACACACATGCACACTAATATAGTATAAATATAATATAATATAATATAATATAATATAATAATATTATAATATAAAATATACAACATAATGTGAATTTTTGTTTGTAAATATAGACCCAGAAGGATACTCAGGACACTGGAATTATTGGTCTTCTCTGGAGAATAGGATTCCATGAGTGGGAGACAGAGTGATAGAATGAATGAATAAATGCTATATTAAAGAAACAAAAGAAAAATAAACCCATTTAAATAATCCAATAGACTGACATCTGGGCAAGTGAAGTATAAGCAAGAAAGAAAAAGTGTAAATACAAATAATTACAAATTAGAAAGGATGACAGCCAGAGATACACAAGAAAAAAATAAATTTTAAGAGAATACTCCCTATAACTCTATATTGCTTAAATAAAAATTTAAGTAAAATAGGAAAGACCACAGGAAAATGTGAATTAAAAGATATTTTTAATAGTCTTAAAACCCAAATAAAACAAAGACAAAGAAGAAAATGGAAAAAAAAAATTGTCAAAGAAATAATTACCCTCGTAGCAATCTCTAGGCTCATAAAACTGTTGAAAGAGATTTTGTTTAAACTTTAATGCATAGAATATTCTCATGCTCTAAAAGCTTTCCTGCAACAGGAAAAAATTAAGCACCCCAATACTTTTTATGAAATTGGCATATATTTGACACTAAAGTCTAAAAGTTTTTGGAAGAAATATATCCAGTATCACTAGAAAGCAGCTTTAGTTATGACTTTAAAAAACAAATTCTAAATAAAACTACAAGGAATTAAAAAATCAAGACGCCCGTGTGGATGAAATCACAAGAGCAATCACTGCCAAGGAGCCCCTTCTAGGCCACCCGTGGGGCCCGGCAGCTCTGCCCTTCAGGCGTCCCACTGTGCGCGGCCGCTTCCTGCCCTGAGAGCCCAGTGGGTCCCTCATGCACGAGGCTTGGTCTCAGCCACCTGGTCAGGCTGCCCAGTGAGAACTGGGTTCTGAACGGGGAAGCTGAACACTGAATCTCATCCTGCTCTCCCGTAACAGAATTTAAAAACAACAACAAGCTTTCATCTAAAAGAGAGGAAATTGATAAAGATGCCTGGAGGAGGAACCCCAATCTCTGGGTTATAGTCCCAGCTCTTCCACTCACCTGGTATGTCATCTTGAGCAAGTCTCCTGTTTTTGCTTGTGAGGCCTTGGTTGCTCCATCTGTAAAACCGGGAGGTCTGACTACTCGGTAGCAACTAAAGTCCCTGTTACATGGGAGCAGAGCGAGGGCCATGAACAAACTCACCTTGTGTGGGCTCAGGGGCCAGCGCGGTTTGATGGAAAGGGCTGGAAAGGGAGTGAGAATCTGCCCAAGCTCGGTCAGCTACTCAGGAGGCAAGTAGGGACCATATATATAGAAGTGAAATAAAGAGGCTGAGAACATCTCTGACACTGACTTCTCCACCACAGTGTTATCCTCATGGGGCCTCAAAATTAGCCCAAGAAGGGGGAGGAGAGCATGGGAAGAGCTAAGGAGGTAGCTAATATGAGCCCTAACAAACACTACAGCGGTCAAGCACTGGGGCCTCATACGTCTGTGGTGATTTAGAATTTCTCCAAACATCATCTCTATTCCTCACATTAATCTGTGGGGATAAATAGGGCAGTTACAGTAATAACTCCATTAAACACCTAGGACATAGGGGAGTTGTTCATCACCCAGGGAACTAGAGGAGGAACCAGGACTGAATCTGGATCCCCAGACTGAAGGTTTTGCTCTCCCAGATGTCCAGCCCAAAAAGGACCCTGTCCTTTTGACAAACTAACTCCTAAACCCGAGGATGGGGGAAGAAACCCAAGAAAGAAAGCAAAAACTGAAGGAACCTTTTCAAATGTCAAATTCTTAATGAATCTTCAAGAATAAAGTACATTCTCACCAGGGTCTTGTTAGTGAGGGCCACAGAGACCGTGCCAGGAGGGCCCCATGATGATTCTCAGGGGAGGCGGAAACACTGCTGCTCCAGGAGGGCCCAGGGGCCCTGGGAAGTAGCGCCCTGTGCCAGGCTTCTGGGCCAGGGCCTTAGAAGATGCCAGTCTAGCGACAGAGATGGGGATGGGGAGATTGGAGCGGTTGGGTAGTGCAGCCCTTGGACTCTCACCTCCTCCTCAATTAATTGCTCCCACTGCCCATGTGCCAGCCTACGGTCTTCGGGAAGACTGCTGGACTTAGTAGACGAATAGACCTGCTCTTCCTGTTAGTAGCAGCCACTGAACCCCCTTGGGCCCCAGTTTTCTTACCTGTGGAATAAAAGTGATGTCCCCTCTTCAGGTGGTTGGGAGGATTACATGAAGTAATACACCAGATTCCTAGTAGGAGACCACCAATGTCCTTACGAACATAATAATCGATAACATTTATCGCGCGCTTGTTATGTATGTTACA